AAGAGAAGAAAAAAGACTGTGATGGTACCTGGGCATTGTGGTGGGCGCCTGTAGACCCAGCTACTTGGGAGGCTGAGGCTTGAGTCCAGGAGTTTAAGGTTGCTATGAGCTAGGATGTCACGGCACTCTACCTAGGGCACAGAGTGAGACTCTGCCTCGAAAAGAAAAGAAAAGAAAAGAAAAGAAAGACTGCAATGGAAAGAGGAAGCTGCTGGGCATCTTCTGCTTGCCTCTCCAGATCCGTTCTCATCCTGCTCTGAGCCGTAGAAGGCTGGCCTACCTGAGCTGCCTGGATGGTCTCCTTTGCCTCTGGTTTCTGGTTGGGTTTGGCCAAGGTCAGTGGCAGCAGATCAGAAGTACAAAGGAGATATTTATTCCCTGAGATGCTTCCTTGAAGGTCACTCCACTCTGCTGTACCCCTCCAGCCACCAGACCCAAAACGCTTCCCACACAGTTCTTCTGATTGGACAAAGCACTCTCCCATTCACTTCTACTAGATGCAGGGTTCTGCACTCCCCTTGGCAACTTCTCTTCTTACATCTATTCAGCCCCTGAGAAATACTGCCTTTACTGAACTCTCCATAAATTGTCCCATTTGAAGGTACCTTATTGGTCTCACCAAGGCCCAGACTGGTATAAGATCTGTTGGTGACAAGGGTCCAACAGGTTCTCTCCTCCAGGAACTAATTTTGAAGACTTCATGGAAAAAAATTAAAAGCCATCACTAATATTGCTCATTTCCAAAGTTTGAACAAAAAAAGAGAAATTATTCTCAGCAGAGGAATTCCACTTTTATACACCAAAGATTTTATAGGTATAAACTAGTTATCATGCTATTTCTCCTGCCAAAAGATGAGATAAAAATCCCCAATTAAAAAGTTCACATGTACAGTCCTCTGTTTCTTCCTTCACTCTTACAACAGACTTTGGCAAAATTGAACACTCTGAAACAGTCAACAGTGATTGTTTAATATACACACAAATGAAAGATACCTATTGTAACATAACAATGTTGTCAATGATTATTCCTTTTCAAAGATCGCTTCTCATTCATTCCTTTGTCAATATGGGTTTTGGGGATTTTTTGTGTTTGTGTTCTTAAAGGTATTTTTTAAACATAGATTTCCTACTTGGGAGCTATTTTAGTATATTTAATTAATATTAATTTTATTAAAGTTACAAATTAAAAAAATGGTGCTCTGTCTGACCTTCAATTTACAAATCCTGTTATTTTATTCTTAATCTAATGGATTTTAGCACCTACTTTTAAAGTGGCCTTTTATTCGTATTTAGTGTAATTTGCTTCATGTTTTTAATAAGGAGGATTTACCTAAGGGGTTAAAACACTATGAATCTAATAAAATTATAAATTCTGCAAATCTTAATGTTCTCTCAAACATTTCATTGGTTTTTATAAACTTTGTAAATGTACCTTAATCTTTCTAACTAAAAAAACTGCAACTCTAAAATAAAATTGCAACGTTACGTTTCTAATTGGAATCATGAGGATAATATATTAGATCCTCTAATAAGTCAAATTTTTAAACTATTATATTACAAACATTTAAAATGGGAAACAGATTATTCCTAAAGTTAATCCAAAGTAATTTTATTAGCTGTTACTTCATTACTTCTATTAGTAATAGAAATAAATAGTAATAGAAATAGAAATAAATAGAAATAGAAATTCAACCAAGCAAATTGGGGCTATTACCACAAACAAGTTGATTTAATCACCCCAAATAAGCAGGGTTATCTGCTCAGTGGCTGATATTGAATTAGAAACTTTTGATCAAGCCACTTCTGGAGCAGCTAACATCTAGGGCAATTTTGCTTGCACCACAGAAACAAGAAAAAGGGTCACTTTGCAATTAATGACTCCATTATTCTCCAAGTAGAGTTGTCTCATGAATCTCCATTCCTTGAATTCAAATTATACATTACCTAATATTCAAGGTTGGAGTCTTAATTATTTTCATATTTTTCCTCTTGGTTAGGGATAAAACTCTTACAGATATTTTAATGATACCCATGTAGGCTGTGCATATCTTTTCATGTTTATCATGTTAATGACAGTGGCAACTCCTCTTCAGGTTACTATATGATAAGGATGGCCTGGCTCAGCGCCTGTGGCTCAAGTGGCTAAGGTGCCAGCCACATACACCTAAGGTGACGGGTTTGAATCCAGCCTGGGCCCGCCAAACAACAATAGTTAAAAGTTTATTAGCAAATAATAAATTATATCAACAAATTCAACTATGATGGTCTCCCTCTGTAAAAGAGTATGTAGGCTCAG